TTCCTTGTTATTTTAAGTGGAAAGTACAATAAAGTTTATTTAAAAGTTATTTCAAGTGTATACATATTTGATTATATAAAATGACCTTTATTTTTGTTAGTTGTAGAGAATATTTATAAGAATCGTGAACCTGTCAGACAAATGAAGGCTCTTTATTTTATCACTCCAACCTCAAAGGTAAGCATTTTGAGTCTTTAAAAAGTACTTTCATCAGTATTTTCAACCATTGTTATGGTTTGGTAATTGAAAATTCAAATAAAATACCCTTTATTGGAAAAATATTGCCATAAACTAATTTGCTTAGGAAAGTTTTTTTCTGTTAGAAGATTGTTTTATTTGCATTTTTCTCTACGAGAATGCATTTTCCTCATATATGAAAGCAGAATTAAACTGTATGAAATGATAGCATTTCTTTGCATAATTTGTTATTCATGCAGTTCCTATTGAACCGTAAATTTTGGGGAGGGTAGAAATATAGGTAAAAGAAATTGTCTTAGATTAATTCTTCCTTTATCTTAGTGACTTTCCTATGTCATGCATGTATGTATATATGTGTGTATATATTTTATGTCAAACTTCTTTAGTTTATAATCTGACTGTGATTTAACTCATACTTTAAGCCAGATTTTTAGAGCCAATTAAAGTATCAGATTCCTTCTGTTCAATATCTGAAAATGCATTTTCAAATACCTCTTCTTGCTTGTTCCCACCTAGACTGTTAATCCAGCAATCTCAGTTTCATTTCACTTCTAACTCTAGCAGACAATAGAAAAAAACGCCAGATATTCTCTATTTAGTTTCTACATATTGGCTGTTGGTGCAAAGAGTGGGTTTTAGTGACATTTTATATCTTATCAGTGATATAATTTCGTAAAAGAAAATTCATGATTGGAAAGATACAAGTTAACAGCACCATTTTCACCTAGCAAATTGGCGGAGGGATTTTATGTGTGTGTGTGTGTATATATATATCTCACATTTTAGCTGTTCTAGCTATCAGTGGATGATGTTGTAGAAACTACCATGTACTGCTAGTGGGAAGTGTAGATTGATACAGCCTTTTTAGAAAATAATTTGCCATTCTTTATCAAGAACCTTAAAAAAGTTCTGTATTTTAGAGTTTATCATAAGGAAATAATCAAATAATTGGTCAAATTAAGTTCCTAGCAATAAATCTAATTAAGTTTTTAATGTTAGTAAATAATAGTATGAAAGACTATATGGCCATTAAAAGGAAGTTTTCTAGGAAGTTTTAATGACCTGGGTAAATATTCATTTTTAATGTTAAGTGACAGAAAGCAGGGTATAAAATTGTATATTCAGTAAAGAAGCAAAGGATTCAGAGAAGATGACACCTGAAAGTGACTCCCTTGTCTACCACAACCAACTCCAGTTTCTTTCCTGCCATGAATATATTGCTTGCTGGGTCCTATAGGCCTCAGGGTGCAAGTGAGGCCTTGGGGTCCGTGGGAGCACTGGCGAAGAAACCTGATATGAGACTTGCTTCCTCATGGGCTGGGCAAACACCTAGAAACCCAGCATCAGAGTTCCCAGGCAAGGATCATAAAGCGACAGATTTCAGGAAGAGTTTGCCGTAAGAGATATGTGAACTCCTGGGGAAAGGTCAGTTGGATGTCTTAGAAAGGTCCTGGTGGTTTGTCTGCTTTGCTTTGGTGGTTTTGCCCTTGGGAAGAGAAACTTCTTTGGCTTCTCCTATTCTGACAACTAAGCCTCAAGTGAGTTGACAAGGAAAAGCAACCACACAGCTAAGTGGATCCAGCTACCAAAGAAAGAAAGTTCAGTAAAATGAAGAAAACACATCTAGAAAAATAGAGCTGCTTGAAGGATGACAACCTGAACAGAAAATAGTGCCATGAGGAGAGTCTACTATAGCTCAAAAACCTTCCAAACCTCAAAAGTGTGATTTCTTAAACAGTTAATTGAAGGAGAGGATAATTACTTTTGAAATTTGAATTAGTGGCCTAGAAGATCAAAATGGAATATCTCAAAGGAAAGAAAAAAGTCATGGAAATCATGGGGAAAAAGATAAGAGACTTATAGGATAGATCCATGAGACCTACCAGAAATACAGTTCTACGAGTTCCAGAAGGAGAAGAAGAATCAAATGGGAGAGAATAATTAAATTCTATCTTCTTGATTTTTGTGTCTAGACAATTGTTACCTTCTTTCTTTCTAAAATGACTGCATTGAGGCATATGCTACCAGACTGTATTACCTGTTGCTTCTCATCCTTGTAGTCATCTACCAGGCTCTGGGTCTTTCTAATGACTTGACAATTTAAACTTCTAGCTTATCGTCACTTTTTTTTTTTGAGACAGAGTCTCACTCTCTTGCCTGGGCTAGAGTGCCATGGTGTCAACCTAGCTCACAGCAACCTCAAACTCCTGGGCTCAAGTGATCCTCCTCCCTCAGCCTCCCGGGTAGCTGGGACTACAGGCACGCGCCACCATGCCCGGCTAATTTTTTCTATTTTTAGTTGTTTGGCTAATTTCTTTCTATAT